AAAAAAACAACGTGATCTTTTTTTTTATTGCTTTTCGTTACTGTTCGAATAAAGTTTCAATCCATCTACGTTGCGTTCGCCGTCAATGGGCGAACTTGACAAGCGGTAAGTTCGAAAAATGGATCGATAATCTGCAAAAATCAGAAAGAGAGAAACATATCCTAAACATTTCATGAGTTGAGCTTGAAGATTTTCTCACAGTTAAAAAACCTGGCTGAATTGTGACTCACATTGCAGTGTAGCAACATCTTTTGTGTCTTTCGTTTTTGAAAGCAAGAGAAATGAAGTCGACAGTTAGAGACATTGAGTGGCATGCCTGAGTGACAGAAACAGTGGTGCTCGTGTATCTTTCCAGCCATATCAAGTTCATTCTGTCATATCATCTTCATTTTACTAAAGAGTTTGACTTTAATCTCTCTTTTTTTAGTCATTCCTCATTGATCGGGCAGGATGTGTGTTGCGGAGAGGAAATCAACCGAAACCCTTGAGAGGGCGAAGAGAAATTGATTCCTCTGCCTGAATCAGATTGTACATTGATCGTATATCGAATGATTGAGAATGAAAAGATTATCCAAAACGGAGTTTCTTTTGTAACATCAAAGAACCACTGAAGAGAATAAAAAAAGATTGACGCATCCTTTTATAAAGTATATAAAGTATACTATGCGAAATGGACAGACAGTGGGTCCGTTCGTGCGCGCAACAAGCGAACAAAAAATTGGCTCTACAAGATACACATACTGCATACAGCGTCTAGCGGCACAATCAAACATCAGTGCACAACGACACGTTTCAAAGTAGTGGGATCGAATAGGAAAGGGCAGTTGGAACGCCACTGCTGTCGATTCGATTTCTTGATATTCAACGTCCTCGTCCGTATGAAGCTAGACTAAGCACCCTTGCTTTTTTGAACGATCATCCTACTGGAGGCTGATCGTAATACAATGCATTTCCTAACGACAGAGTTGCATATGTCTGTCGGGAACAATGCGACTAAAGCGACTCGACTCGCTTCAACGAGCAGCAACAGAAGCTCAATCAATCAATATTCAGCAAACTAATCGCACGTTCTTCGCCTCACACTGCCTCGAATGCACACACAGCAGGCGATCACCCAAGGTCATGTGTACTGTACAGGCCAATCGCATCCCACCAAAGACGATTTGTTCATTTACGACCAGAATGAAAAACGTCAGACTACGGTGACGCCCGGTTTACCACCCATGGGCCATTTACTATAAGATTTGCGTTACCTAACTGGTTGTTTCACTGCGCAAACACGAATATTACTAGCGCTGCATGTAAACAGTCTAACCGAAAAAAGCAAATTTATCACCATTTAAAAATTCCCCTCAGGTAATCGCGGTTACCCACAAGAGCAAATGGTCAACCTCCATAGACTACGCTGTTTGAGACATGTAGTGCTCGCCACGACGAGGTAGGCAGTGTACGGAGAGAGTTCAAGGGCAGTTAAACCAACAACTGGCATGAGTGTATGAAAACCCTAACCAAGACACTGGGTCACACAGGTTCCGTTAGATTCCCTGGATCGGGGCCCACGGCATTCCATTCTTCCCTCTGCTCTTTTATCCAACTGGATAGCCAAAAGATAGCAAGCAAAACCGGCGCATGAAAATGCATGCTCATTGGTCGCAAAAACAAAAAACTGAAAGAATATTGAATATTTAAACCACAATCGAGGAATTCATGAAGAAAATCGCGTAGCTACAATGTTTATCACAATTCACATTAGCTGTTGTGTTTCACGACTGAGTAAAGAACAGCCTGAGGTTTCCATCCATTGAAGAAGCCTAACGCTACCTACATGAGCCGATTTCCCGATCGAGGTTTTCGTAACCACAGGTCAAGGATAAAATGGGCCACCTCTGCTTTTTGTGTACCCATTATCCATGTATATTTATGATTATATATCTCACCCGTATGAGGATAGACTGTACGCCAAACAAATCATGGTACAATAATCTTTCTAAAAAGAAAAACGCTCCAAGATTTGCAAGTGGGCCGAATACTGCCAGGTTTCCCAGGCCAAGGCAGGCGAATTTCCTTGGGGAATCCACAACTGGAGCC